CCGTGCGTACAACTTGAGTTTATTTGTATCAACTATGCGAGGTGCAAATGATAAACACTTCATATGGGAATGTCAGCGTGTAGAAGATTCGCAAAAAGATTGATCGAGTTGTTTGTTTTCTTTTAGGTTTGGAAGATAATGCTTGAAGTTCATAGGAAGGAGTTACCATTCGATTTAAGAACTCTATTGACTGAATAAAGTTCATCAAAAACTTGATTAAAAATTAAAATTTGCACTTTTAAAGGGGCCTATCACAATTTTAAAAGTTATTGGGTCTTTAAAAGAGATAAGATTTTTTTTGGAAAAAATATGAAGCTCAATCTTTTTTGAAAAAAAAAACTAGGTCTTTCGGCGGTAAAAATTTGATCATGGGAAAAAAAGCCTGCGCTTTTGAATAATGTCTAATGTTGATCCAAAAATATATACAAGTCTTTTGGCGGGAAAAATCTTGCTTCGTGCGAATGATTTTCTCCCATTAAAAGTCTATTATACATTTGTTTCAACACTAGACGCTGTTCAAATCTGCAGAAATTTTTTCCCTCTCGGCTACCCTCCACACGCAAAAAAAAGTAAAAGAGATAGCCTACATTTTGACTTGTTACCAGGCCCTTTTAAAAGGGCGAGTTTCTATTTTATCTTTGTACACTCATCAAAAGATATTAAAGAGAAGACAATATTGTAAATGAAGCGCTTTTATTTCTTTGTAAGTTTCGTTACTCAATACAATTCATTATCAACAAGTATAAATGCTTTTAACATAGGCAAGAGATGTACAGGAAAATATGAGATATATAATCTGACAAGGCAAATAGAAACGAAAGCAAAATTTAACTAAGTTTGATAACTTCTCCGATTTATTTACTTCTTTTCAAAAATTTCTAAATCCAAAGGAAGTAACAGAACTCGGTCAATACAGATCGAAAAAATGAAACGTGCTACAGACAGATTTTGAGTGAGTCAAAAACAAATCAACGAAATAAAATTTGTAAAATTAGACTAAGTCTAAAAACTGCTTAGCTGCGTCAAAAGGTAATTGTCACGAGAATACCTTCCAAGTGGCTAATTCTAAAATAAGCTAAAAAAAGTTCAGAGTTTTTTTTATCTTCTTTACAGATAAAATGGTTTCAAAATCACTGAATTCGTCTTTAACAACAGCTCCATCCAAATCAGATTCCACTTTCTGTTTAGCTTTTAAAACAAAATCCTAAAGCAATTGTCTTGAAGCAATTCGTTCATTTGTACGTCATTTTTAGTTGGCAGCTCTAAGTTACTGTTACCTCTAAAATTAATTTCCATCTGATTCCCCTGAATGTCTAAGTTTTCTTCAGTTACAACTCCCCTATTCTCATTCTTCGTGGTCCACAGCACAAGGGAAATCAAAGGAACTGCAGAATTACACAAACGAACATCACATTAAGATAAACCAGATGAAACTTGCTTACAAAATAAAGGTCATTAAAACCCTATTATAATGTATGCATTTTGCTTGTCCCTCTGGATGCTATAAAGGAGTTGAAGATCACTACTTCCTGCGTTCTAATACACCCCGCCGTCCGGGACGGCGGGGTGAACAACAGGGAAAGGGTTACAATCTTCGAAAATGTCCTCCGTGTAGTTCAGTGACACACTCAGAACTCTATGCAATCTTAACAGTGTCCAGATTGTCCTTAATCGTTTATGACAGGGAAAAAAGTAAAAAGTCATTCAAAAAGAGTTTCACTAGATATTGTTTTCAAAGTGCGTTCCTTTGAAAAAAATCCCGAGACTGAATCACTTTCTTAGTCACTTTTATGCTGTGTTTTCGATAATTTCCACACATTAGGGTGGAAAAAGGCCTCTGCCCCCTCCCAACTTTTGTCAAGAAGGAGCACAGACCCTCCTACCCTCATACAACGCGGCCTACGACGATTTAGAAGCGCGAGATATCAAGAGTGCTTCTTCTCTTTTCTTAACAGCGGCGACAGCAATTAAAACGATTATCTGCGCTAACTTACGATCGACGCAGTTATTATAACAGGAACTTTATATATGAACTGGTTATACTTGCGCATCTACATAACATTGAAGAAAAATTGAAAAATTGAAGAAGTAAGGAAATTTTGAAAACTCTGTAAACTTGGAATTGAAAAGCTACTTTTTTTGACTGTAAGTCGTCGATTAATTTATGATTAGGAAATTAAAAAGCTGTTTGACACAACCGCATTTCAGAATTTGAGTTCTCAGATATCAAAGTAAATATAACACTAGAATTGACTGTGTTCAGGGCAAAATGTTTTCCTCTTTGATGAATTCAAGACCAGGAAAGCTATCATAAAAAATTCTTCATGAAAGAAAAGCAAAGCTTTTAAGATTCACAAGGCTTTTTTAACAAAGCACAAAAGTTTGTTTACATTCCGATCATTCTTTGTTGGTGATAAAGTTTTATGGCAGAAATCAACCGATGAAAGAATCAGATATTTGCATAATTTTCGCTCGTAAATATTCGAGGTACGTTTTTTGGTTAACAACTAAGCTCTTTACGAAATATTGAAAATGTTGAAATGTTTTAGAAAATTTGTCTTTTTCGTCTTCTTACGGAAAATATTCATGAAAACCTTCCGGTGATGTGGAACGAATTTTATAAGTGAATTACCTCACCAAACTCGATTTCGGCCGTAAATAATATTTTTCTTTTTTCTAATTCTCCAGACACTCAAAAAAGTTGAATACGCCGCCTTGATGATCTGTCATATGCAATTATTTTAAGAATTTGCAACTGACCAACAAAAGCCAACTCGAAACGATTCTGTTGTTTTGGCTTAACTGACCAAACTGGATTCGTGCATACATAAGTCAGTCAGCCACATACACACACCCTGAGCCTATTTTGTGTAAACTAAGTCCTGAGCTTACCTCGGCGTAATAATTTACTTTCGTTTCCTTTCCATACGTTCTTGTGATTTTTATGAATACTTCCACTGCAGAAGTGGATCTGCATGGGTGAAAGAAAAAAAATTAAATTTCTCTTGGCTCGAAAGACTGCGTTAGCATAGCTAAAGAGTAGATGTGTACTGTTCAGCAAGAATTAATCCGTCTGTATTGCAAGTTTCAACTCGTATTGGATTTATCGCCAAGCAAAGAATGTCCGTGGTTACAAAGCCGCGTACACACTGTTACCATAAATGGTTTAATTTGCCCTTAAAACTGTTCTCTGCTTATTTTTTATCGTTTTGTTGGCTAACAGAGATACGAGTGTGGCATTGCCTGTCGAGAACTACTTTGAAGCGTTCCTTTATCAAGTCAACATCCTCCCAAAATCAACAAGTCACCATACAACAACTTAAGATTAGAACACATCCCCACTCTTACCGTGTATTCTGTTTTAGAAGCTTTCATTCCTTGTCAGTTGACAGCTTTCGAGCACAAACAGCCCCTCGGCCACTTTCTGACGTTAAACTTGATAAGCTGACGAGTTTTTCTCAGCCTTTTTTTACCTGACAAGCGGTCAAATTTAACCACGCGGGACCGTAAAATGTAAATGAGTTGAAAAATTTCCTCACGTGCAAATTTATCTTCGCGTAGAAAACTTTGAAAACGAGGTTGGTTTAAGTTAGCTTACCGAGGCTTCCTGCGGAGAGATAAAAATTCATGAGGGTTTTTGTAAATTATATTTCGTGTGGCTGATTGCCAGGTTTACGAAAATAAACACATCCACTCACAGAAACACCAAAATGTTTGAAGCTGATTTGTACGGAGGTTGAGTTAAGAGGGTGAAATACCTTCAGGATGAAAGCTGGAGCTACAGATTAATATCTAAGTGCACTCAGTTGAGTTAAAATAATGCGCGGGTCGAGTACAAATATCCTGCGATATTTGGACAGTTGGTCATTAAACACCTGTTTAACCGGTCAGCTGCACGTGTTACGCTTCTCAATCTGCTTCGCTTTTCCCACCTTTCAAGAAGTGTATATGAGGTTAAGTCGTTTGTTGTTTGTATTTTGACGATCCCGCAAGGCGAGTTAAAATACGGTACAGCTCTTAAAAATACTTAGCGATGCTACACACCAATACGTCTGATAAGATATATGAATCACACTGCTCTGTATGTCAAAGAAAAAAGTGCTTTCTCCAAACGCAATGAATAGGAGAACATTGGACTAAATAAGCAGGCGTGAAGTCAAGATCGCAGGATTGAGTGTCGTAAAACCTCATTCAGGGTTGTCAGTACAGTCAAACGTGGGGATTGAAAATATCACAAGCAACCGTTGAAACAAGCAAGTTGCTTCAAGCTCGATAAATGCGCTTTACCAAGGCGCAATTGCTTTTCGCTCTTATTTTGATCAGTCGGGAAGATGGCAGAGTTTACTGGACCAATCAAACAAGAGACAAAGACGGCAGTCATTCAGTTCAAAACTCCGAGAGGAAGCCGACCTCTGCCATGGGGTCTCAAGGATCTCATCTGATTCATACGAGTCATTTGCATCTTCTAAACCCTTTACCTTCCATGAGTGACCAAGAGAGAATTTCTTCTTACAATATCATTTCAATATTAAGCACAGAAGTGATGAGAATAAAGAAAAATATCGATTAGAGGATTACTAGTTGATTCAATTCTCCAAACTGACGTCTAAACAGTCGTATGGCAGACAGTAAGGAGGGTAATCCGTTTGCACTGCTAAGAGTAAATTGCATTTAATTTCTTCTCACAATATCACCCTCGAATTAACCATTAAGGTCAAGAAAATAACCGTAATGATTACCAACTAAAAATGCTCTTGATCGTTAAAAAAATTCTCCTTGCCGGCACCTTGGAGAACGCTATTAATAACATGCATACTAATGTCAGGGTGTAAAGAGTAAAAGCCAGTTTGAAGAACAAGAACTGCAAAATGTTGCCCATATTCATGGCCAAATAGGTACCCTTATTTGATGGTTTATTTCGAAACGAATCAAGATTTCAAGGAAGAAACAAGAGGTCAGAAATAACGTAACGTATTACGTCAAAAGGCAAAATACAAAGAAAAAGTGTAAGGAAATTTTTATTTGATTCGCTACAAACGAAACGATGACGGAGGTTTCTCTACATGATAGTAGAAAATTTATGTTACGACAACTCAAAGTCACTGTTAAGACGTACTTTGACTTAAAGTATATACAAGAACACGGGCTAAAAAACTAGAAAGTGTCACGGTAACCAAGCACTAAGAAAAAGAAACAAAACTCTTATTTCTCAGATAGTCTGACTACTTATCCAGAACTTTTTCACAAGGAATAAATTACTTTATCTGCTCAGAGAAAGCCTACATTTCAACGCATGTCCTGACCATCTAAGGCGTGGAAAATATCTATTACAAGAATTTTGGGTTATAGGACACTTAACGGGAGCATTCAAAAAAATTTCACTCCTTTGGAAGACGCCATGAAACCATGACTTTCCAAAGTAAATAGTCCATTCGTGTTAACTTATAACTAAGCCCCTTCTTCAACAGGCAGTAGAGATACAAGCTAAGAAAACATGTCATCTCTATCAGCCCCAATAACTTCTACATCCTCCATGGTGCTGAAGTTGAGGAAGTGTGATGGCCGGTGGACCTCATGGTAGAACTCTTTGGGGTTGGACAACTGCAACTCATAACGCATGTTTGGGGAGTGACGAACGCCTGGAAAGCAGAGAACGGAGAAGACTATTAGATTTATATATCAGATAGTAAGTCATTTCAAAGTCTCTCTAACGAGCGAACCGTCCCCCCCCCCAACTTCACATCCCACCGCAACAGCTCATCCCAGTTCCCGAAGTAAAAAGGAATTAGGAGCATTGCTTCTCCTCCTATATGCACGCGAAATTCGCTTATTTTAAGGTTTCTTGAGAATGATTCCACGAAATTCGAAGAGAAAAATTGTTTGTAAAAAATTCCTTAAACTACAATCAAATAGGCCACGTTTTCTTCAATTTGATTCGTTTCGTCGTCAAGAACATGAAGTCAAGCGGTCGTAACTTTCACGATAAGCTGGACTGGATTTGCTCTTTGATTTTTTGAGGTTAATCTCCTTTACCATTTCCCGTTCTTCTCCGATACGATTTAAAATTTTTGCATTTGAAACAGGAGTGAAATTGGTGAAGTTACTTGGTTAAAAATAATTAAAAAAAGGTTTCTCATATCTTGTGGACACCAATACCACTTCTTGAAACAAAGTGACACTTGATACAACTCACCCATAAAATTGAAGTTCCAGGATCCCTGAGTAGGTACCATGAAGAAACCAAGGAAGCGATCTGACAACAGCATCTGTACTTTCTCGTAGTGAGACGGAAGGTAACCCCTGGGATTGTTCCCTGTGTCCTTGTTGTTCCGCCCCCAGTCGTAACCCGAAGGGGTCAGTTTGTAGGCTGTTAGTGAACACGATCCTGGGGTAAAACTGAAAACCAAACCATGGATAAAATGAGTGACGCCTAACCAACGATTCTCACCGTTCATCATTTTTCTTACTCTACACCCACAGAAGACGCTTGGCTCACTCATGCTGACAATAAGCAGGATGTTTTTCACATAAAAACATTGCAGGTGGCCTAAACCCCTCATCAAGTGCTGTCGAAACGCCCTGCTCCCCTCTCAAAGATGATTTCTTACTGGCGCTCCAATTTTCCCGTTACGCCACTGATTAATTTAATTGAACTAATCAAGCCCTTGTGACAGGATGATTTAAGGATGGCGAACCTGCTTCGTTGAATAAATTTATTAAATGATTACCTGCATGTAATGATGACTGTTTTCTCGCCATCCCAAGACGGATTGTCCGCCATGATCTTGGCGTGCGTTGTGACATCTTGTGGAGAAAGCTGTGGAAGTTCATTGGGCTGGGTGTGAACCCACCCTAAGGGTTCCATCTCCTGAAAAAACAAAAACGAAAAAAGTGCAACTGTTAAAACCTTTAGCTGAAACTACCCACATTTTCAGGTAAACAAAAACGTCCACCAAGAAAATACTCGTGAAAAAGCATGCATAAGATCAGATACTTTTTTTTCTTTTTTTTAAGGGAACTCGTTGAGTAACGGGCTCGACCGCCCCGTCCACGATTTGAGATGTTGGCGGTCCAGTAGTATATATCACCTGACATGCTCTTGAGAGAAATTAGCCATGAGATCATGACTTTTAAGAAGGTTGTGAAAACTTTGTTACAAACGTGGAATGGGACAAAACAAAAAAAAGCTAATTTGGATACTTTAACAGCTAAGCCACAAACAATGAGCCGGTGAGCGAAGAGAGCAGAGTATTCTCCCGTTAGTTTTCCGATTCAAATTTAGCAGATCTGTCATTTTCACCGCTCTCTTTCACGGAACAAATATTAAGGGATCTAACCTTGAGATAGTCATGCTGTGGTAACATGTTTGGTAAGTGCACCGTCTGGTGTGTGCCCCACTGCGGTACCATCACAATACACCGGATCTCTTTTACCTGTGGGTTATCAGGCGGACTTACTCCGTACAAGTAACCGGCGATCTACAAAAACAATACACACCATAAGAATCTTTTGTGGAGAAAAACTGTGAACGTTGAAAGTGAACTGCAAGATTTTCCCTTAAGTTGACGAGAACGTGTCGCTTTGACCCTTTCACTACCAGCAGTGACCAAAACATAATTTCTCCCTACAATATCAATACAGCATCAAGCAGGCAGGTATTGAGAATACCAATACATATCAACTAGGGGATTATCAGTTGATCTGACACCACCTTCTCAGAATAATATGTATAGAAAATGTATGGCAAATAGTAAGGAGAATTTTCATCTAGATATTGGGAGTGAGGGGGCTAATGAGTGGCTGCTCATGATGATGACCTCTGATCGTTCTTCATGATTACTTCGATCGAAAAGCAGTTTCAAACTGAACAATTCTCTACCTGTGTCCTTAAGTCAGAAATCACAATAAACTTCTTCAGAATATTCTTTGGCAAGATGTAGGTAAAGCCAGTTTCTTTGATGTCATCTGATGACACGTAAATGTGGTTGGTTCTCAGATGTAGATTCGTCGCAGAGATGGCTCTGACACGCCACTCAGTCTTAGACGAGAACGTCTGTGTCTCGTAGTTTGATGTCGTAGAAACGATGATCTCATCTCCATGGATGTTGGTGGTTCGAGTGGTAGTGGCTGTCAGTTGTGACTGTTCCTTGGTCTGCTTCTCGATTTCAGCGATCTGCTGCCTCTGTTGCGAAGGGGCCGAGATCTCCATTCCAAGGATAATATCACGGATTTCAGACTGTGTCAGGGAAGCTACGTTCACACTAAGAAAAAAGGACAACTTGAGGTCACGAGGCTATCTGATTATGAGAAAATGCCGAGAGTATGCACGAAAGTAAAAAAATATTAAGAAAAAAACCCAAAAATTAGAAACCGTCAACATTCACTTACTTGTTCTTTTTGCCATAGTCAGCTAAGATAAGATCTTTCAGAGCAACCTGTAAAACAAACATAACAGTTGGTCACTTTCAAGGAAAATAAGCAATAAAATATCAGAATAAATTATAAATCGAACGATCGTTCGCTTGGTACATCAGTATCGTGAAAACATCTATGTAGAAGAACCAACGGACACATCGCAAGACACAAGACAAAGCGCGCGCGTACGACTGAACCACTCCACACGCGCGTGTGAACGCGAAAAGACACGAAAACATACAGGCCATGCTAACCTAGGTGTTTGGAATCGAATAATACAAAGCTGCATCAACGTACCTCAACTGGCACCCACTCCTCGTCAGTCAGTGTCGGCCAGATGTGATGGGGTTCAGTAATTGTGGTTTTGTCCGGTTTAAGGATGACCTTTGTGCGGTCAGCGTTCACGTGCAAGGCTCGGAGAATGAGGATCAGACGGGAGAACGCTGTGTAAGACGAAATAGTCTTCAGCCAATCATCGTACAGATTAAACAATACCATCTGCGGCTCTGTGGCTTTCAGAATCATGTCACCAAGCTTCTCAACCTGCGAGATACAAACACGGCTTTAGACAACATTATAATAGGGTGCGTTAATACACATCTGCCAAAGGTTTAAGAAAACAGGAAAGTTAGAGGCTTTCCTGACCTAAATGTTACTTTTAATTCAAACAAACCTTCAAACAAGCTTGGAAAGGAAGCTGCAGCTCACTGCCTTTGATAACAATGTTCGGGAAATCCAACAAATGAACCTGATAAATAAACCATTTTAGTCAACAACCTCAACACACTTAAACAGCAGCATATTCATGAAAGAGACCAAATTCCAAATCAACATCTTCATGATTAACAGAGATTTGTAAGAACACAGCAAAAATTCTACTGCACCTCCAGAGGGTCAAGCATGCCTTTTCTTGTGACAATGATCTGTTTAGGTTGTTCTTCTACTGGAAGCGAACGAATCAAGGCCGCTACTTCTTCTGCTGTCTTCCATTTCGCCAGCTAAAGTTTCAAAACACACTTCATTTTAAACAGTCAACGATACTTTAAGACGTAATTTCATTGAAAATAGTTTGATTTAATTCAAATACCCCTTCCAAGTCTAACCTAAAACTGACTAAAAGACAAGACACAATAACACGACCTATCTGCCTCACTGCATAAGATTATCTCGTGGAAGACACTGAGTATTTTGAGTCTATCAACGGAAGAGGTGACACCATGACAGTTTTAGGCGACGTACCTGTCCAAGACGCTTCTGTCCCGCCCACACAGAGGTATGAATGATCTTCAGGAAGAGCTGCCCCGTTCGAGGATTGAAAATAAAGATGGCGCCGTTGATGGGTTTGGTCGTCAAGTTACCCTCAAATGTCTGAAAGGAAAGAGGTGAAATTGTGAAAGATATTCAAGCGCGCGGTTTTCTTTAGTTATTTTCCCTAAATACAGGTCGCTTTCTTTTAGCTAGATCTAGCTGACAGGAGCTTTTCCTTCGTAAATGGTATCGATCAGTTCTGATAACAAACACAAATAATTCTGGTTGAACTGGTCCTGCTTTTCGAGTAGTAGCCAGGCGGTTTCTGCGAGGAAGATTCACGAGATGCGCAATAACTCCGAGAGTCGAATACTTCAGTGCAAAATCATGGTATTGATACTGAGGACACGCTAGAACCATTTCTTTCTGTTCGGCTTGACATTATTAAAGTAAAGCACCCTCAACCGTTAAAATCAGACACCGTTCACCCTCAAAGCGAAGTTCTCGGAATTTGTGCAACTGCTTCTTTGCGCGACAGAAACAAATTCCTGCGGCATAAGACTACTTAACATGTCACAAAATACCTACCTTGTGAATCGTGACTCTGTACACGTTAGTGTCGTCCACAAACCAGATGATCTGGTTGGAGAAGAGTTCTCCGTAGTTCTGCGAAGACAGGTAAGGCTCAGTAGGTTCACTGGAGTACAACTGAAGGCCTTTCCTGATTCTCTCCCTCAGCACATACAAGGCGGGATTGGCTTTCATAATCTTTGCCATGGCCTGTTGGATAAGCGGTTTCACTCCTGGAAACCAGTTACCAAAGGCACTGCAGGAAGTAACAGGAAACGGTTATCAGGAAAAAATGGAAATGGAAATGCAGAAAAAAATAGAAAAAAAAATTAACTTCAATGTAAAATTTTAGTACAAGGCTTCACTCCGACATTCCTCGTCCAGAAAGTCGAAACATTCCCGCCCACCCGTAGCCCACACAGCAAGCGTAGTTTTGGCGAGCGAGTGTTCAGTACCTTCTTGGAGAAAATTATAGCCGCCATTTTTTATTTTTACAGCAGCGGACGGCTGGGGAGAGAGAAAAATTTGTACCAAGGGGGGTGAATGTCGGTAAAAGGGAGGGAGAGAGGAGGGCGTGGGGATGGGTCTTCTCGCCTCTCCCCGTCCCCCACTCTCACTGTTCTTCTAACTTTAAATCAATCATGGCCGGTCGAACAAACAATCGTGGGCTTATAACGTTAACTGCCCTTATAAGACGCCTGTGCTGCAGTAGAGTATTGAAGACTACTTCGCAATTTTTCCACTCCTATAAATTTTCCCTCCAAATCTTTCAAGTCTCGTGTTACCTGTGCAGATTATAAGCCAAGTCAATGCCAATTAGCACTCCCGTAGGGGAGGGGTAGATACTCATGTTGTCAGTGGTGTAGTCCAGGTACTTTGCGCGTGCGTATCTCTCGATGTCATGTGAGTCGTAGTCTCCCCAGCGGAGCTGAACGTCGACCCAGTACTTTTGGGTTGTAGTACTGTCCATGATGTCACTGCAAAGAAGAGGTGACAAAAGATCACTTAGTGAAGGAAAAGTAATGGTATGACCACTATCGACTTGGAAAATTTAGCCGGCTTCAACACGATAGCAAAATTTAATTTACTGACTGAAGAAAGGTGTCTAAATATAAAATACAGAAGTAGATGTATAATAGCGAGAAGGAGGTTTTCTGTGAAATAAGACCTGGCTGAGCCAAGCTAAAGACGACTTGTTTAAGTCATCAGAAGAATCTCATTAAATACTAGCCCTTTTTATATTGCAGACAATTTCCTTCTAAAAAGGAACCAGCCGACCTCTTTAATCAGACGGCAAATCAGCATGGCTTCTACGATTTTTCTACTTCAATAAAGTACACACAGACTTACTTTGAGTCAGCCAAAAGGGATGGTTTCGACACATTCCACTTGTATGCGGCAAACAACAGGATATCAGCACACGAACTGTTCATCTTGTATGACTTACGAGGGTGAATGGTCTCTTTCTGTACAGTCTCAATCTCCAAAGCATCTAGTTCTTGGTCAAACACCTTGAGGTATGTTAATGGACATTAGTAAGATACAGCGCAAAGAAGATTTAAGCTTCAAATGTTCTTAACCATACGACCCCCAAGGGTGACTCGCATCTAATTCCTCCTTACAATAATCAAGCATTGAGATCACGAGAATAGAGAAAATGATCACTAACAAGAACAGCTCTTGATTGTCAAACAAATTCTCCTCGTCAGAACCTTAGAAAATGCATGGAAGACAGTATGGAGAAAACACGTACTGATCTTAGGGTATAAAGGGTTAACCCAAAGCTAAATTAAGCATGACGACCAGTAAAAAAAAAGAGCAAAGGTTAATTCAAAATAAAAACAAGTTAACTACTCAAAGGTTTCGGTCTCAGTTGGGATCTGATTGAATGAAAAGGCAGTGAGAGTTTTTTAAACCAGTTACAAACGGAAGTAGCCTGCTCCTGGCCCCGGTTGTTTAAAGGGCGGAAAATGCTATACTCTGGGTTAATTTTATCCGGTGAATAGCGCAGTACGCTCCGTGAACACTTGTGCGCTAGACGCCTATCTATTCGTTGGACGGCGCTATTCGACCCTCGAACTGTGGATTTCAGTATTACCTGACACAAGTCCATTACCACACTCTCGTGGACTTTCTGCCACAAATGGGCTCTGAAAATCTGAATGAGTGAGATCTTCAATGTTGGAATCTTGCCATGCATAAATATTCCTGTCAGGTCAAGTTGCACCTGGAAACCAACATAAACCTGAAACGCAAAAAAAAAACCTAAATAAATAAATTAATAAAGCAGAGTGGTCGCCTTGTAGTTAAAGTCTTCTTTAAGCCCTGGCCAGGTCACTGCGTCGAGTTTTTTTTTAAGCCAGACATTTCCTGTCTCCATCCAGGAGTGTGACTGGGAACTAACTTAATGTCAGGGAAACTCGGCCATCTACGACTGATTATCACCAGTACAGGAGGAGTGGCAATACTTCTCGTCACTACACAGTGGCCAGACTTGTGGGTTTTTAGCAGAAAAAAAGGCTCGCAACGGCAAGATCGCATATTGAAAATCAACAACATCTGACTTGGAACCGCGAGTAAAGATAGGGGTAAGTTTGGTTGAGAAATAATTTGCTGCGGGGAAAAAACCCAACAACAACAACAAACAGACTTCGTTCTTTCAGTTAAAGTTTGGACCTTCCCCCTATCAAAAAATCCTGGACACGCCCCCTGCTTCATTCGCCAGAAACCGGAAAAAGGCTTCCGCAGTAATGAGCTACTGAGCTTGTAATAAACCATGCGACAATATGTGAAACTAGTCCGTACGAAGCAATATATATATGGCTTACGTTCGCTCTGTTGATAGTCGGTGACCACCAGAGTGTGAATCTTCTGTTGGGAATCTGATTCAAACCAGATCTCTGTGCATTGGTCAGTTTCTTGTACTTCATGGACTCCTCAAACCCACTGGCCTTCTCCCAGAACAGACCCTCCCATGTGGGGAAGTAAGTTCCTTTAAACAGCGTGTGTTCCAGGATTCCTTCCACGCCACCAAGGGCTTGGATCATGTCTGTACGGTAGTTATTCAAGTTCCATAGTTTTCCGTCATGACGCTGATGTGTCCACCAGAATGGATTCTGTTTAAGAACCTGAAAAAGGTTGCACAACGGGGCTTAATAATTCAAGTAGAACAAACAGCTTAAAACTTGTGGGTAATGAGGCTTATTTAAGGTTGTTTCAGGCGTGACGCATCTTGAAACAATTAACCCCAAATTAAAAAATTCCTTTAGAAGTACTGGTAGGTAAGTGTCGTAAATCGAGCGAAAAAACTTTTTCTTCACATTTGGTTGGAAAGATTGTTGCATGTTCTCTCCACAAGAAGCACCCAGAGTCAGATGGAAGAAAAGTATGACGGTTTCAGAAAAGTAGTTAAAATGAATAAGACTCGAGTCATTCTTAGTCAGCATTCACTCTGTTCGGAAAATATAAATATATAAGTTAGTTTACCTGGTACTGCTTGAAGTCTGTTCTCACTCTCCATCCCTTGTCATAGGCGAGCGTGTGTCTGTCCTTCTGAAACAGTGTGTTGATACGGGGGATTCCACGATCCCACGAGTCCTCTAAATCTTCCAAGGTCAATCGCCTAAAGTGAAAAACAAACACAACCTTTAAAGACTTCCTTCAACTGGAATTTCCAGAACAACTAACTGAAGGCTGGCGAAAAAGTGCGGTTAAAAAAATTTCAGTCGACCATTTTTGTACCGTCGGACTTCTACATTGGTCGAAAAAGCTCTCTCCGGTGAAGAGACTCGCGTACAATTAATTTATTATAGCACTCACCTGTTCTGAGCATTGGCTTCTTGCCGTTTTAACGCGTACTCTGCCCACACTCTCTGGGAATCAATGAATTCGCTTTCCCATGGCTGAATGTACCTGTTGTGTTCACAAAAATGAGCAGTACTATTATCGTGTGGTAGTTCATAGAATGGCTTAGGTTTAATTCACGCTGAAAGTGTACTGCGATCCAACTCTCTAAAATCTTGAGCGGGCAAAAACTTCAATTATGCTCAGCTGCAACAAACTCAATTTGTTGGGCAGAGGTTAGAAGGAATGACAATATACTATACCTGTACAAGTTAGGGATCAACTGATCTTTATCATGACTCATTCCAGATCTAAAGTGAGTAATTCCTACATCGGTCTGTTGTGACCACCTGAAAAGTACAAACAACAGCACTCCTGTGTTACTATTGTCAAGAAGGAGAATGGAAAAACAATCCGGATCATTGTGACAGAAAAATAATGACGAGCAAAAATGAGACAACATTGTGCCGGGAAAAACAAGCAAAGAAGCGGAAAACATAAAAGATCAAAACAAAATTCCCAGTGGACATATAGTCAAAGGGCAAGGAACTTCTTGTTGTGTGAAACAATTCTCGCACAGAAACCCTCATCTCTCAACAAGCAAATGTTTTGAAAACCCTTGATCACTGCACAATTAAGACTTGATACTCGCCTTGAACCTCCATACTAAAAGTTTTTGACAAACCAGGATCTAGAATTGAGGATTCAGTTTCGAGGGACGGTCATGTTTTGCTGGAGTGGTAAATTTATCAGGGTTCATTCTTTACCTGAGATCTGACTGTGGAATGAGGACATGGCCCATGGACAACATACCAAGTCCTCCCAGCTCTTTTGGAGTGTAAAATACAACCGGAGGGAACCGACTAGGCATCTTGGAATTCAGCCCGATCTTGATACGTGTTTGGATCTGGAAGATAAAAACAATTCAATATGAAGAACTACTTTTGAAAAAACCGCTGACAATGCTAAGCAACGAACTTTATAGCCAGTGACAATAATACTTCTTTTACACTGACAATTCCACTTGTGAATACGCAGTCAAAGTATGATATAGTATGAACAATAGTACTTCACAGTGTAAATCTCAGTATGTAAGAAATAAAACGATTTACAACTGTAACTGAATACCTTGTTTTCGCATTTCACTAACAAATCCAGCAGCTCTTGAGTGTTGACAACTGACTCCCTGTAATATGTCATCAAACCAATCAAAGCTGTGTTCCATTTGTTCACAATTTTGGTAAACGTAGTTGAACCAGATGCCATTAAGATTTGACGCACTCTGTTGTGGAATCGCTGCTGTGACTCGTCGTCAACCTTGAGGAAGCACTGAGCAGTTCGCTCTTTAGTGACCTGTCATCACAGAAAGTAATATTATTTTATTTTATTGCATGTTCAAAAACACTTCATTTAAAATCTCTTATAATCTCCTCCATGTTTAGCCATTTTCGTCCCTATTTTTGCCTCGTTTGTGTGTTTTTTCTATCTAACTGAGCTAACAGCTTGAATTCTTCTATGAGTTGGAGGTGTCTAAGTACATCAAAATTTGAATAATCATGATGCGTTTAGCTCGTTCCAAGCTTTCATTTAGTAAAACGGAACAAAATAGTAATCGGTACGAAAGAGCGAAATTGAGGGGGGTCTGGGTCTCCCTCGACCCAAACACGCCGCTTACTATTTCGCTCTGTTCTATTAACCGAACAGGCTATGGTGTGGCTCCTACAAATGGGAGATTGTCCGTCTACAAATGAAAAGCTGATTGAGGGCAAGATTCATAAGCAGTCATGTGAAGTGCATACCTCATTTTGCAAGTTCCACACTCCATCCCTGTGAGTGAATTCCTCAAATGTTGTGCGACATTTTGGAAGAATGCGGCATTCAAAGCCACACATGTTAAACAGCAGATTTGGATTGTCTTTACTGTAAACAGACACAAAACTTTCATCCCAGTTGAGTGTTGTCACAGATCTTGGCAAGCGGTTCTTTATGTCCCAGAACACAGCACGCCCAAGATTGACGTCGTGTTTCATGAGCCTCATACGTGCATCCCTTGGCCAGCATTTCCTGTTGTTGTAGCCCACGATGTTTTCGTTATTTGGGTCAGGGTGTTCTGTCAGGTAACGCTGGATCAGATCACGGGCTTCATCTGCTGTAAACCTGAAATACAATCCAAAGTTGCTGTAATACCAAGCAAAACGGGCTTCTGCAATCTCCTAATTTTGAGGCTTCTGACATCACAAAGAAATACTCAAAGGTTACTCTAAACTTTAACAGATAAACAAGATTTGCAAACTTGCCTCTCCAGCATACGTATTTTTCAAGTTGCACTAACATCTTTCATGCAAATTGGCAGACCTTCAAATTGGAAATCTTCCGAATTTCACTAGGCTCTTTTCATTTCAGGTATTTCATTCCATAAAATCTTCACAACCCTGACAAGTTACAATATCAAGTAATGCTTATGATTTCAGAGCTTTTAACCCTTTCATTCCCAAGATCTCATTCATAATTCTCCTTACTGTCTGCCATTCAAATCATACGCCGTTAGTTAGGAGAATTTAGAACTGAATCAACCAATAATCCCCTAATTAATGTTTTACTTTATTCTCATCACTTGTCTGCTTCATAAAGTACTGATAGTGTAAGGAGAAATTCTGTCTAGGTCACTAGTGGGACTTAGAGGGTTTAACAGCGTCTTTTTAAAATAAGACCTTGAGACCTACAATCAAGAACATTATGAACAACTACCTGAAGAAAATGTGCACTTTGTCAATGTATCTTGAATACAATCTGATGGGATGCTGTGACTCTGTCTGAACATCTTGGAAAGTCAAGAAGTCATTTGGCATCTGTGGAGGCCCTGCCATCTCACTGGCTCTCTGCAGACCCAACACCAAAAGATCCATCACCAATCCATAGTACTGAACGATGAATGACGCAAACTGCAGACCACGGATGATGCCATAGGAGTTTGTGTGATTCATGTCCTGTTGAATTAATGGGAAAGCTATCAATGCAGGGAATGGTTTAAAACCGTATTCAAACATTGGTTATGTAGTGTGATTGTCTGAGTAAGGAGTCCTCAGAGGACACCAACCTTGTAATTAATGACAATGTTGTTCTTTGCTGTCATGTAATCAGCAATGTTGTGATCAACAATCAGACGCAGGAGCCGATTCAGTAAAGTCAAATCAATCTTCTCATACATCTTTTCAAAGTTTGACTCCATCATAACATTACATTCTCCTTCAGATGTCTCCCAGACGTCTTGCAAGTTGTTGATTCCTGAGAGCAAAGAAAGCAAAGATTTCTATTAGACAGCTTTTATTACTAGGGTGTATTTAAGTGAAAAAGTCTAGACTATTTTTTTCACTTTTTCCGGACCATTATTTTTTATATTCTGTTCAGGAGTAATTTTACATTAACAAGACGAAAACGAAACGGAACGAAAAAGCAACGCACTGCAATCGAAAAATTACCCCCAGCCGATCTCTCTCTGACTCGTCTCAAATCTTCCAGCAGGCGAAGGAACGTGCATCCTGTAGCGGTAACGACGAAAGCCTGCTCCCAGGCTAGATTGTAAATGTCCAAACCTTTTCATGAATTTCAGGACTCTCTTTTGCCCCCTTTCATCAAATAGCAAGCATTTCTTTCATGAGCTTAATGTGGGTGTACATACCTTGGCACCATTTGTACGTAAGGAGTGGAGGAGGTTCAGTGTCAGCTGGTTTGACCCATGGAGGAAACAGACGTCTCTTGTCTGCTTCATACCATAAATATTGGTCTAAGTAGGCATCTGTGATTTTCTCCAATG